TAAAAATAAGATTCAAACTCCTCCTTCTTAAAGAAAACAAATTTTTTATTGATTGGTTCAACAATACAAAAAGGGAGTAAATATTTAATTTTTAAAAAGTTACATTTAGTCTTAACCCATTAAGAAAAAAAAACTTCTGGCCAATAAAAATAAACTCCTCCTATTTTCAAAATGCAATGTTTTATTTATTGGTTGAGTTAAACAAAATGGAGAATCTAATTAATATTTAAAAAATAAAACATATAAACCCAACCCCCTAAGAAAAAATAGATGATTTAAACCAATCAAAATAACAACCAAACTCCTTCTATTTTCAAAATCAATTTTTCTATTTTTTGATTAAGTTAAACGCAAAATGCAGAAAAAATTAATATTTAAAAAATAAAACATATTTTTCCAACCCCCAAAAGAAAAAATGGATGTTTTAAACCAATTAAATTAAAACTTAAACTCCTCCTTCTGAATGAAAGATATTTTTCCTTCGTGTGTTCAAATAGAACAAAATGGAGAAAATATTAAACTTTAAAAAAATATGAAATTTAACCACAACCCTTTCCGAAAAAATAGGAGGAGATTCAATCTATTTTTGTATAGTTCATAGTAAACTTTAATTTTAAGTAGGAGGAGTTTGAATCTTATTTTTATTAGCTAGAAGTATATTTTTTGTAAAGGGTTGAGCTTAAATTTAATATACATATTCGCTTCATATTTTGTTTAACTAAAGCGACAAATAGAAAATTTTCTTTCTTTATGTAGGAGGAGTTTGATTATTATTTTGATTGGTCTAAAACATCCATTTTTTCTTAGGGGGTTGGGATTATATGTTTTATTTTAAAAATATTATTCTTTTCTTCATTTTGTATAACTTAATCAACAAATAGAAAAATTGATTTTGAAAATAGGAGGAGTTTGTTTATTATTTTGATTGGTTTGAAGCAACCATTTTTTCTTTGGGGGTTGAGGTTATATGTTTTATTTTTCATATAATATTAAGTATTTTCTCCATTTTGTTTAACTTAACCAACAAATAGATAAATTGATTTTGAAAATAGGAGGAGTTTGTTTATTATTTTCATTGGTGTGAAGCAACCATTTTTTCTTTGGGGGTTGAGGTTATATGTTTTATTTTTCATATAATATTAAGTATTTTCTCCATTTTGTTTAACTTAACCAACAAATAGATAAATTGATTTTGAAAATAGGAGGAGTTTGTTTATTATTTTCATTGTTGTGAAGCAACCATTTTTTCTTTGGGGGTTGAGGTTATAATGTTTTATTTTTCATATATTAAGTATTTTCTCCATTTTGTTTAACTTAACCAACAAATAGAAAAATTGATTTTGAAAATAGGAGCAGTTTGTTTCTTATTTTTATTCGTCTAAAAGCATCAATTTTTTGGGGGGGGTTGGGATTATGTTTTATTTTTTAAAAATTAAATATTTCCTCCTCCTATTTACAAAAAGCGCAATGTTTTTATTCGTTGCTCCATTGAGAAAAATTCTAAGAATATTTATCATTTTTAAAAAATATAAGGGGCATTCTCCGTCAGATTTTCACTCAAAATTTTTTTTTGTATTAAAATAATTTTTTTCGAATTCTATATGAAAAATAAGTAAATACGTGTTTTTTTATTTTTTTATTTGATCAAAATTATAAAAGTTATGATTTTTTAAAATTTAACATCTTCAGAAGCAAAAGATTTTTCTAACACTTTTAACTCCGTTATACCAAAAGATAAAAAACAATGTAATATATGAAAATGACTTGTTTTTTCTTGAATATTTCAAATATGTAATAAAAAATAACTTTAATAAAGCGAAAACATTAAATAAATTGAAATTTCTTCAAAAATGTGACTTTTCTCAAAAGCGAAGTAATTGATTTTCGATTTTTTTCTTCCATTACAACCACTGATAAATATAGAAATTTTTCCAACTTATGCCAAAGTGGTGTTCTTTAGGGTTCAAATTTATATATTTATATATTTGAGAAAAGTCACATGTTAGACGAAATTTCAATTTATTTAATGTTTTCGCTTTATTAAAGTTATTTTTTATTACATATTTGAAATATTCAAGAAAAGACAAGTTATTTTCATATATTACATTATTTTTTATCTTTTGGTATAACGGAGTTAAAAGTGTTTCAAAAATCCTTTGCTTCCGAAGATGTTAAATTTAAAAAAATCATAACTTTTATAATTTTGATCAAATAAAAAAATAAAAAAACACGTAATTACTTATTTTTCATATAGAATTCGAAAAAAATTATTTTAATACAAAAAAAATTTTGAGTGAAAATCTGACGGAGAATGCCCCATATAATGTTTATTTTAACTTTTAAAGAGAAAAAGGATAGAGACTTTTGGCCAATAAAAATAATATTTAAATTCCTCCTTTTTCCTAAATGCAATTTTTCTATTCGGAACATGCCCTGGAAAAAAGGTGAGAATATTTAATTTTTAGAAAATATTGATGGTGACTATAATTAAAAAATTTAAACGGTAATTATTTTACAATTAGAAATAATAACCGTAGGTTACTTTAATATAAAAGTAGCATTTCTCTGCCATCATTAAAAAAAGAACACCCTGTAGAATATTGCGTCAAACCAAACGCCGCGCGGGGATATCTGCCGTTAGGGACTTTTGATTGTTTCTAGTGTCTTTCTAAAGCTGATGTCACGTCCCAGGTTAGGTACAATTTAATTTTAAGAGAGGGCGAACTTGTTCTTGCTTTGACTACTGAAGTAGTCACCTGGCAGGTAGGAAGTTAGGCGGTTGAATTCAAATAATAAAATATATTTCACTCTGTTTTATTTAAAAGAAGGTAAATTGTTTAATTATAAATTAACAGTCTTGATTAAGTCCTTTAATTTTAACAATATTGAACTTATAATTTCGTTCACAAGAAATACGTCTGATTTGAAGAAGAGAAAGAATTGATCTCCTTTGGCCTTCAAAAGCCACTTGAAACCCTTGCTGAACTCCCCCTCTAAGGCCCTTCTAAGAGAAAGTGGGGATAAAACAACGTGCGCGGGGATATCTGCCGTTAGGGACTTTTGATTGTTTCTAGTGTCTTTCTAAAGCTGAAATAGAATAAGTTGTTGGTAAAGTAGATATTACTTTAATATCACTTTACCATTTGCATTTAATTAAATTACAAGTTTTATTGTTTAATTAGTCTTATTAATAGATGTAATTAATATTTTTACGTTCTTTTAACAATATACACTATTTTTTCCTTTATTTACACCGTTTTCATAAGTAATTATGAAAAATAACCTTGCTATAAAATCACAATGACATTTTTGCACATTTCAGTTAATTATTAATTATTCAAAGCTTTCTTTATAAAAATATTTGCATAATTTCATTCTCCAAATGTTCCTTTTCAATTTCCAATCGTTTTTTTCATCAAATTCTGTCTTTTAACAGAATTATAAAGCAATTTACCAAATGTCTCCCAAATGTATCCCAAATGTATACCCACGTGGGGAGACATTTGGTAAAACGATTTCGCAAGGGAAGCTTTGCTTTTTATTAAATAATTGAGTATACGAGTAACTTTGATGAAATATTTTTGATGATAATATAAAATTACGGTGTGAAATTTGTAAATTTTACTAAAAAATATATTTTAATTGTGCCTTAATGTGAATAAATGTGAAAAAAAAATTTATTTTTCATTTCCGAAGCTTTCATCTCCGAAGCTTTTTCCTTGAAATGTGCGAGTTTTTTTTTGTTTTTAGTATTTACCTGCATTGATTTGAAAATATTAACCTAAATAACCATAAACTATAGACTTTTATTTTTATTAAACTGAATATATTTAGTATTAAAATATGCAAATTATTACTTTTTTAAACAGTGTCATTTTATTATGAATTATATTAGTGTGTATATTTAATAAAAAAAATCACGAAACAAATAAAGCTGATCAATTGGAGCAACAAAGACAATATTCTTTAAAGAAAAAAAACTTTAATATTTTCAACAATTAATTTTGCGCAACTTGAATTCTTACTCTTGAGTATGAAATAAAGTAAGTTCAATAAAAAAAACAATATAATTTAAAAAAAAATAAGTTGAAAAATCGAATTTCAAAAGTGGCACTTTCAGAAGAATCACCCATAGACTATTATCTGTCAAATAAAGTTTTATTTTTATATTTTCAATTAAATTCGTAGTAAATGAAGCACTCGTAGTAATACGCACAATCACTCAATAACCAACTAGTTGAATCATTTAATCTTTTATTTAATCAAATAAATTTTCTTTTTAAAATTTCTAAAAGTTGACAATGCAAAGCAATAACTGTAGAACAAAAATTAAACTGTGCAAACTTGTAGTACTTTTTGCTCAATTGTTTCAGTGCTTTCTTATTGTCAATGATGCACCAGAAAATAATCTTTCGATGGAAACAGAAGTAGCTTGTATGCTGAGTAATTCTCTCGCCATGTGGGCTAAGTTAGGGAACTTATTCGCGTTATGTCTCCACCACTGAAGAATATCAATGTCTTTATTGGTTCTTCCTGAATCTAAATAATAACCAATTTCTTTGCGCCAATGTTCAGTAGACTTATTCTTATTTTGGGATGTTGAATTGTTCGATTTGTTGCCTTTTGATGAAAAAAGTGCAGCAAGTTTAATATCATCATCGTCAATGTCTTCAATATTGTTCCCGTTTTGCTAGATCAAGTCGTTTGTGGCTTCTAGAGGTGAAAACAACCCTAGAATACGAAAATGTTTGATTTCCTTGTGTGCGAAAAATCCTGCCATTGAAATCGAACAGTTTTCGAGACGAAGTTAATTGAAACATAACAGAAGATAGAAAGAGATTTCGATTTCAGAAACTTGTTTTGAAACACGTGAAACGAGACGATAATTGTCAAAATTTCGATCGCTGTGCAGCACTAGTTCCTTTTGTAGGAAGGTGAAATAATGTAAAATTTGAATAAAATTCAAATATAAAAATAGTAATCAGTTTATGTTTTTACAGGTTTCTCAAGTAATCTACAAACATGGCTTCCTGTAAATGAAAATTACAAAACTCTAAATTTAGAGTTTGAAAAGGCTGCAGGAGAATCCTATTACAATTATTATAAAGATATTGCCTCATTAAGAAAAATACCATCTGTTAGAAAAGGAAATTTAAAGATAAAAATATTAAAAAATGATATATTAGCATTTTCAAGGTTTACTAAATTATTTAAAGTCTTTAACGTCTGAGTAGTATTAATAATAAAACAAATACGAATTCAGACAAAGATTCTTTAATGATACTACAACGTTTCGAAATCCACCGATTTCGGGACTGTTACTAATTTGACTCTCTGAAGAAGAAATCCGTGGATTTCGAAACGTTGAAGTAACATTAAAGAATCTTTTTCTAAATGTCTTCGTTTTTGTCTTATTACTTAATTATTATTGTTAATCCTTTAATGACCAATTTTTTTTAAACCCGTGGAGAAATTTCATCAGGATTCTTTTATATACCTAGTAAGATTTTCCTATTAGTTATATGAATATGATAAGGTAAAATGCAAGGAACAAGTAAAACCTCAGGATTTTCTGTTACGCTCGTTTATTGACAAAAATATTTCGTGGGGAAACATTGCGAGTGCTCGACGATTTCTTTTCACACATCTGACAAATAATTTAAGGTTACATATTTGTTTTATCTTTTATGCCCTTGAATATCTCAATGTTCAAATGAACAAAATATATTTAATTCTTTTACAAATTTATTTCTTAATATAATAATATTAGGTACGTCATGCATTAGCCCTGTGGGAACATTGCCATGGAATGTTAAATGTTCTCCTGGAAAACGCCTGTTTTTTCTATTATTCTCAGAATAGTGAACACTTAGGTAAATATTTGTGGGTATGCATACCTGAAAAAAAGTTATTTAAACTAATTAGAAATAAAGTCGCTTTTCTACCCGTTCAAATGTAATGTGATTTTGCAACTTAAAACTGTCAAGATATCAAAAAATAGTGGAAAGAGTAGGGAAAAGGTTCGCAGGTTGAGACGGGTTTTGATATTGAAGAATATTTTTACACAAACAAAATTTTGCAAAAATTTCTCTCTGTTACTTAAAAAGTATTGTCCTGGGCTACAAAATTGATCTAAAAAATAATTATTTCTTTTAAAAATAAAAATTTTTGACCTGTTTTTTGATCATCTATAATAATTAATTTTAGATTGAGACAAAATGAATAATGATGTAACATATCAATTGTTTATTTATTAATTTTGCAAGCTTTAGCCTAAATAAAGAGCGTAAAAACTTTAAAACTTCACTTGAAACTGAAAAAAAAAAATTTTCCTAAATAAAGAGAACAAATTTTTTTTTATTAATAAATCATTTTTTACAAAGTTAATGATTGGGTTAAATTTTATTGTGTCATTTAAAGAGAAAGAATAGAAATTAAACTTATTTAACATTTTTTAAGTCTCTATTATGAATAATTTGACGAAATATTGAAATTTTCACTTCTACGTCTCCAAAAACCAAGACTCTAACATCAATATCTCTGGTATTTCTATGAAGTTATTCAGATAAGAATTGCTTACAATCTAGAGCACCTTAAACATGAAAAATTATGAGGTGTTAATTTTTTCCCCTCCATTTTGAAAATACAGAATAATTTTAAAAGGACCGACAAAATGGGCCCTTTTCTTTTTTCTACCGAACCAATGAAATCAAACAGTTAAATTATCGATAAATTAATGAAAACCGAATGATTCGACTTGTCAAAACATGTAGATTGATAATAAAAAATAAAACAAAAATTAAGATTTTGCTCCAAAGTTAGTAAATTGCGATTATCTCGAAAACTAGAACCGACAATAATTATGAGCCCTTTTCATGTGGACGTACACATTTATATGGAAAGTAACTTAAAGGTTAGGGTTCTCATAAAGCTCTCGTTATTTTCCCTTTCAAGATTTTTGTGAAGATCAGAGCGTCACTGAAAATGCAAGGGCTTAACGGATTTACCAGAAACCTACTAAACTTCAATTTTAGGTAAAGAATATTAGGGAAAATTCTACACGGGAAGGAATGTAATTTCCGTAATTCTCTGTAATTAAGGGTGTTTAAAATCACTTATTTAAACACTGGGCATTAAAGGGTTAAAAAACAAAATGAGAAGGATAAGTCCGGGGTAGATGGCCATACGGGAGAGATGGACAGTTCAAATATTTCACAGAATTTGTTAATAAATATCATTTATTACGGGTTATTCTTCAACCTTTTGTGACTACTAATAAATGTAAACAACAAATTGTTGAAAAATAATGAAAGTGTAAGCGTAATCCTTCTACATTTTTTTGTATGGGTCCAAAATAATAATTTGAGAATTTCACATTTTTATTGCTATATTGTTATTTATGACGGATTTTTTTATTTGAAGTTTCATTTAGTAATGCATAACCCACGCTTCGACATATACAAAAAATGAATGAAAAAATTATCTTAGTATTTATTTAATATTTTGATGTTTACTTTTGTCATATATTATTGGGTGAGATGGCCATTGATGACATTAATTTAAAATTTTTTATGTTAATGTTAGATACTTAAGAAATATTGAAGAAAAACAAATTAAAAAAGTCTGAGAACAAAATAATTCATCTAATTAAAACCAGAGATGGAGATATATTATTTGTAGGTTGAGCCGAAAGTTACAATCAAACGACATTTATTGAATATTGGATTCACTGCAGTATTTGACATTTTTGGCTACATGAAAACTGCACTGAATTCCATAATAAATATTCAAAATGTGACCAGAATAAGAGAAAAATAATTTTGAACGATTAAAAATTAAGTTTAAGCTAAAAGTAAAAAATTATAAGTATTGGCCATCTCTGCAAATGCACATTTTACAAAATGTAAATTTTGAGATTGTTCCTATGAAAAAATTTTATTTTATTTTCCGTTATTTTAAAGTTAAGTGTTCAAAGTTTAATTATCAATAAAAGTGTAGACATAAATCGCTTTTTACAATTTTTACAGTACTTTAAAGAAACTATGCCCACCTCCCCCGGACTTACCCTATACCGTAAGACGGGGTTATTTCGCTCATATACTGATAAATTCTCTCATCGTCTTATTTGCTTTTTTAGCCATAAAATTAAGTAAAAATTTTTAATTTGTTAATAGATACATCAAAATTTATCTTAATGCTAGTTTGAAGTTAATTTAAAGAAAATATATCGATTATCTTTATCCGCAATAAATTTTCTCTTTTTTTAGAAAATATAAAGGGCAAAAGTCTGTATATGTCGTAATAAACTTGAATAATTTTACACAATTTGTCAACTTGAATAAATTTGAAAAGACTTCTTCGCAAATAACGCTCTATAAAGCTACTCCTGGAACGGATTTAATTTCTAAGTAAGTTATTACTAACTTAATTCAAATATGTAAATCATTTTCTGAATTTCAAATTGTTCCACTATTAAAGGACTTTCACTAAGGAAACATTTTAAAAATGAATCCTTAGGACATACCGACATACCAGAAATATTTGGTGACTAAGGAGACTGAACTGACTATGTAAATTCTATTAGAAATTAAACTCTGTCGCAGAAAAAAAATACTCGCTTAATGACAGGCTCTAGCTTACGTGAGCCTGCGCAGTAGAAGTTCATATTTCACTCCTTTTTATACAGTTATGATTTTTGTTTAACACATATTTTGATGAAAAAATTGCAACTATTATCAAAATCTTAAATATGTATCTTTTATTGCATATCAAATGATGATTTTAAAAAATTACAATCTAAAAAATTATTTTTTTTATCTTACTGCTATTAAAATAATATTCAAAAACTGATTACCAATTTCTTTATACTAATACTGAAAATCTTTTCCGTTTTTGTAATTACAAAAGCAATTTATTTAAAAAACTAGGTAAGCCTAATAATGACAATTTTTTGGTTTCTATTTCATGAATTTTTGATAAATTATTTTCAACGATATAGTGGTATTATTTAAAAAAATCAAAGAATATAAGAATTCCTTGATTAAGTAAATTTTACAAAGCTTTTAGACCGTATTATGTTAATTATATATTTTGTTTGGACAACGCCCACACAGCACCAAAACTTTCCTGAAAATTTATTAAAGATTTACTTGCAAACTTCGAAAAATTTACTTGCAAAGTTTAGTGAAAATTGTGTAAAGATTTAAATGTCCCACTTAAATAAATGTTTATAGTCAAATTTTCCTAAAAATTTAACTTGAAACTTTCCTGAACATTTAAATTAAATTTTCGACTTCTCTCTTATAAGCGAAAATGTAACTTAAAACTTGCCTGAAAATTTAAATTAAATTTTCGCCTATATACAGTAGGCGAAATTTTTTTTTAAATTTTCAGGAAAGTTTCACGCTAAACATTTATTGAAGTGGGACATTTAATTCAAATCTTTACAAAATTTTCACTAAACTTTTCAAGTAAATACTTCGAAGTTTGCAAGTAAATCTTTAATAAATTTTTAGGAAAGTTTCGGTGCTGTGTGGGCGTTTTGATGCCTTTAACATTCTCATCAGGTCTTTTATAGAAAGAATGAATGGAGATTATGGTAACAATAGAAATAATAATAATATAAACACCTGTAAAGGTTCATTATTATTAGAATTTATGCAAAAGAGAGTTACAAAAATCATAGAAATTATCATAAACTTACCTCTTAAAGAGGGTCTAGCTATTATTTTTTTTTAAATTTCATTTTAAATTAATAAATTTATTTACTTACTTCTAATTTCCAGTCGTTCTGTAGACGCAATATTCAATAAGTTTAGATTTTAAAGTATTAATTTGTAAGAAAAAAATTCCACTGGAACTTTTTTAAGCTAGAATTAAGCAATAGGCGAATGTGTAAATAAGTAAAAATAAATATTATTTAAAAATAAAAAGTTTTTGAAAAAGACTCTTTCAATAAAGAAGATTTTAATAGTAGAACAATTTGAATCAAAATACAACATTAGAGTTGCATATACTTTTTTTCTCGTCTATTAATGTTACGTGATTTAATCTTTTGCAGTTGTCTAATAAAATCTAATAAAGTAAGGATTCCACCTAACGCAACTGTGGTTTTAATTGCAAAAGAACATTAAAACAGTGAATGATCGCGTTGGGTAATGGAAGCATAAATAGTTTATCTTACTGAAGTTGTTCTTAAAAATTTAAACTTGTAATTACAAAATGTTGAAAATTTAAAATTCTTCGCGTTATGTAAATTCGAAAAATCTGTAAAAAGGTGGTATTTTCCAATATTTAGATCTTTTACATGCCATTTAACGTTATATTTATAACGTTAAATGGCATATAAAAGATCTAAATATTGGTCTAAATATTGATCTAAATATTTTAAATATCTATTTAATATATTGTTAAAGCAGTAAGACATTATTGTTTAAATAAACCTTATGATAGTTATAAACAATTATTATTAACAATGCAATATTCTTAATATTACTGACATTTAACTCAAAAATTTGAAACGTCGTTTTAATTGATACGTCTTTGTTAAAGCGCATTTTTTAACTACTGTGTATTGTAATAATAAGAAAATTCATAACTGTTGTACCTTTTTAAATTAAAGTAAATAAAAATTCTAATTATAATTATATTTTTAAAAAATAAACAAAAATTATTTACCCATTTTACGAAACATACCTAAAGAAATGCAATCAAAAAAAGATAACTGATAAATGACTTAAGATTGTCAAATTTAAAAATTTGATCACTTGTGTTTACTTGGAAAGAGAAGAGATAAGTTTTAAATTGTTTAAACTTCAGACAAGTTATGTATAACTGTAAACACTACTGTTACCATTTTTATCCAATTGTCTAATTTTTTTGCAATAATTATTATACATTTTCGGTCTTGGTGACTTTATTATAAACCCTAAAATCGAAACATAATCGTAAAGAACCATCACTTTGGGGACCCCGCAGCACCCTTCAGACTACCGATCTATTTCAATTCTCTGTTCTTTGTCAAAGGTAGAGTAGTACCGACAGAAGTGGGCCACACTTTGGTTTTCATGCTATAGAAAATTCAGAAATTAACATTTTTGAACCCTTTTTTTTCTTAAGCAAACACAGATTTTAAAATTTTTAATTTTAACATATTGTTTAACATCGTTATGCAAAAAAGAGAAATTTGCGATATCATGATTTTGTTGACAGAAATAGGCTACCTAAGTTTTTCATCTAAAATAAGAAAAAGGATCAAGCACTATGATTGTTTATGTTAAATGATTAATTTTTTCAATAAATAGTATTGAAAAAGTAAGCACAAGAAGTGCGTTCCGTAATTTTATTAATTTTTATTTGACTTATAGCATAAAGTAATTTGCCGTAGTCAATGAGTTTATAACCAGTTGGTTTAGCCTTTCTTGGTGTCATGATTGCTAAAAAATTCAAAGTAATTCATAGAACCACTTCATTAGTTTATACAAAATCACTAAATGTCAAAACGAAACTTTAATGCAGTGGCCCACTTATGTTTACAGAAAATGTCCCACTTCTGTCCACAAGCATAATTTGAGGAGAAATAACGTGTCCTTAAACCTCGCGACAATATGAAACAGTCTCTTTAAATTTTTTAAGGTTAGGTCTGATACTATAATAAAGGCTACTTGCTCGATTGAATTCGATGAATAACTTATGTAAACAACGATAAATTTTACAATGAGAAAAAAAAGTAGATAATTTTTGGCACTAATTGCTAGAGATACATTTGTACGTCGCACTCTGTAATGACAAACTGAAAGTCGACCTGTTGATAACAAAAGAAAAAAATTTCGGTTGACAGATATGTCACTTGTAAAAGCAAAAACGGCGGGTGGCCCACTTCTATCAATGCTACTCTACTGGAAAGAATAGTATATAATCAGTTAACCATTTAATAGCCGAGTTTTTTGTGGTTAATTTAAAGTCATAATGTATATTAGATTTATTTACTAAAGAGTCAGTCCATTGACTTTCTTCTGAGAGTCGTTGCGACCATATTTTAAAAAAATCTAATTTTAATATATGTGAAACTCGATGATTTTCTGAGTTCATTAATCATAATATTATGTTACAAATTTTATTTCGTTTAATAATATTAATTATCAAAAGTAGGTGGTTCACGATGTGATTTCGTAACCTCAAATTTTTCAACTTTTTAAAAGACGTTATTATTCAAAAACTATTAAATATTAGGGGTTGGTACTTACCACAAATATAAATCTTTCCATTCTGCACGTTCTAAAGACCAAAATGAACTAAAAATTCTATTATTTGTGGACGAAAATTGATTTAAAAAATTTTTTTATATAAAAAAATTATACTTGTTTCACTTACAACTTTTTTGAAAAATTTAAGGTTACGAAATCACATCGTGAACCATCTACTTTTAATAATTAATATTATTAAACGAAATAAAATTTGTAACATAATATTATGATTAATGAACTCAGAAAATCATCGAGTTTCACATATATAAAAATTAGATTTTTTAAAAATATGGTCGCAACGACTCTCAGACGAAAGTCCATGGACTGACCCTAAAGTATTCAGTATAAGAAAAAAATTTTGTTGAACATGTTTCACCCCTTAAAACCACCCCCACGGTAAATTGTTACCACCAAAATTTGATATTTAACCTAATTAAGATAGTACGCTCGCGATCGCAATTTTCTATAGAATTCCCTGAAATTTAAAATATGAATAGTTAATAACAAGATCTACAAACATTTAAGTTAAAAGTTTGTTATTTAACATGGTTAACCTGTAAAGAGTGCATATAAATGGCACATTTCTTCTAATAACTTCTAAAATTGTCTATAGATTGTTTTCAAAAACTAATATATTATAAATAAATATTTGGAAAATTTAAAACAAAAAGATTTAACAATATTAACCGTTTCAGTTAAAAGATATAATATAATATTCTAACCTGACTAGTATACTTGTATGTGAGTGTGTCTGTACATAGGGCTGACTATGTATTCAGTACAGTCCAAGCAAAAAAATGCTACAGTAACTGCACCATACTATAGCATGTTATTAAAATTTACTTTTGAGAGTGACTGTCGCGAGCGTACTACCTTAACCCTTTCAGTCCCATAATTAGGGCAATTAAGAAATATCTGCAATAGGTATAGTACCTATGGTTTTCGGGGTCGCTGATTACGAATCTGGAATCAGATTTTCCAAATTTTGAAAATATAAAATGGCGGAGTCAATATGGCGGACGATAAAGTAAAACATTAATCAAATTTACTTGAAAGTTGTCACTCGGGGGTTTTTGGGGTCGCTGATTACGAATCTGGAGTCAGTTTTTTAAAATTCAAAATGGCGGATCCAATATGGCGGACAAAAATTAAAAATTAAACAAATTTACTTGAAAGTTGTCACTCGGGGGTTTTTGGGGTCGCTGATTACGAATATGGAGTCAGTTTTTCAAAATTCAAAATGGCGGATCCAATATGGCATTTAAAATTTAAAAATGAAACAAATTTGCTTGAAAATTGTCTCTTGGGGGTTATTGGGGCCGCTGATTACGAATATGGAGTCAGTTTTTCAAAATTCAGAATGGCGGATTCAATATGGCGGACAATAGATTAAAAAATTAATTAAATTTACATGAAAGTAGTCTTTCGGTGGTTTTTGGGGTCGCTCATTTCAAATCTGGAGTCAGTTTGTCAAAATTTAAAATGGCGGATCCAATATGTCAGACAAAATTTAAAAATGAAACAAATTTGATTAAAAGTTGGCATTCGGAGGTTTTTAAAGTCGCTGATGCTGAATCTGAAGTCAGTTTATTAAAATTAAAAATGGAGGATTCAATATGTTGGACGAAGAAATAAAAAATCCATCAAATTTGTTTGAAATTTACCGCTTAGGTTTTTCTAGGTCACTTATTACGAATCTGAAGTCAGTTTCTCTAACTATAAAATAATGGATACAATATGATAGTCAAAAATTAAAAATTGACAATATAGGACTGAATGCTGCTTCTTGGAAGTTTGCGGGGTGTGTAAATACAAATCTCGAATCATTCTTACAAAATTTTTAAATGGCGAATCTAATGTTACGACTATTACAATAATATTATTCAAAATAGGAGAGTAGTACTGTTTTTTTGTCGTTTGACATTTTCCCTTTTTTTCTCTTGATTTTGTTTCGTTTTTTTGTCATTCGTCTTTTATGTTTCGTCACTTGTCTTTTGTCGTTTGTTACGACAAATATAAAAATATTTTAAGAAAACAAAATTAATAAAAGTATTTAAAAATTAAAAAAAAACATTTAAAACATTTAAAAAAAACAAAAAAAATTAAAAGAAAAGAGATGAAACTCTGCCATTGCCGGTCAAATAACCATCCCTTAGTGGTGAAAGTTTTTGAAAATGATTAAAAAAATCTATAAATTCTAATCCTTAATAAGAAATCTCTATTCGATAATCTCTCGAAGCTCTGTAACATAACGCGTATCCCATTGGTCAGAGTATGATGATTTGTCATCTCCCTCATGCATGCACGTTAAACGCAGAAACAGATACGATTTAACTTTTTCTTTTATTTCATTATGAATTTATCATAGAAACAAGCTCAGAAGATAAGTTCTATTCTAGAAATGAACTTACCGACACATGAAAATGAAAAAGGGCGCTATAGTCTAATGTAGATTTTGAATTCTTTTGACAGTATTTCCATTAAAATTAGTGTGGAAATGTAATAGTGTTTTTACAGCACTATAAGTTGAAGTATTTTTTATGATTATTTATGACTATGAGTTTCATGATAATTATAAGTATTTTTGACAATTTGAATTTCGTGATTTTTTATAAATTTTATTAATAATCTTTAACGTCCTTTGATATTTAATTATTGATCAATAATTATGAATTTTAATTATACTAATTGAGGACATTAATGAGTTTTGTGATTTTCTATGAGTATTTATAACAATATTAGTTTCGTGGTTTAGGTCAAGTATAATGGATTGATCCTATTATTTTTATTTTTTAATAAATTTTTTTCAAAAGAATACCAAATTCTGGCAGTTAATGATTGGTTCTTGCCAATGTTCATAACAATTCAATTATTTAACTTTTAGAGTTTTATTAGATATATTTTATAAATATTCTGCACGAATCCTGATATTTTCTACCCCCTTAGATTTTTTTGAGTTAAATTTTACCTAATGATGACCATTGTTTATAACAATTCAATTTCTCGACGCCTCCCGTTTATATAATGCTTATGGAAAAACAAATTCGCAAGCTCATTCTTATTCAACCTTTATTGCAAGACAATTCTTATTGGATTGTTCAACTCGGTTTTTCAAAATTTTACAGAAGACACAAAAAACTGTTTATTTCAAACAGCTTTGATTAAGAGTCCAGCTATTTTTCGTAGTTACTAGATTTTATGTCCTTAATAACTGTTATTTTAAATAATAACTGTTAATAACTCACTGTAGTTAGAGAAAATTGATATTATAGTTGTCAGAGTTGAGCCCTTTTCAAAATTCATGAAAAAATTGAATCATTTTAATCATAAAAATATATTAATGAAATGTTTTACTATCAGGAAACAATTTATTTATTTAAATTTAAAATGT